AACCAAAGTCCATTTCTTGTTGTTGAGAAACGCGTAAGACGTTCCGACACTAAATCTATTAGTTCAAGTACAGGGTCCCCATAAACAAACGTCATAAAGACTTTTATACCATCAATGACTGCCTCAATATCAATCATTCCGTTATTCGAAAATAATACATTAACTTGAAATTCATCCATAAAAAATAAAGCTAAACCTCCACTGAGACCAAGTAGCTCAACAGTAAATAAACGATCAAATCCTAAGTCGGCCTGAATGTCTTGCAACAACAGCCTTCTGTTCCTTGTCTCTGAGAGAAACACAAGTCCTGAGCGATGCTTCTGACACATCTCTGTAAGGCGTCGAACTGTGAGGTCGTTTCTAATCCCTCGACAGTTCCAACTGATTGTCCTCATTGATGAGATGGGGATGGGTTTTTGGAGCCCATCAAACCACCATCCTTGTTAGAAGTTGCTCTATCTTTCTAGATTTGTGTCTCGATCCCTGGATTTATCTCGTCCTCCTTTCATGTTAATTTCCGCTGGTTGAACTGATCTTGCACGTGGAGAACCTTGACGGAGGAACTCTGATTTCTGTGTCTTAATCCCCAATGGAGGATTCCTGTTGTTGCTGCGCCTTGTAACTGTGGCCTCCTTGCCATCTTTTTGGCTTTGGAAGCTTCAGCAATCATCAGTTCCTCGCCGAGCAAATCATCACAGTTGTTTGTGTCTCCACATCCTTCAGTGCATCAATTACATGTTCCTCACCTAGAGCTGATGGAGAAAAATTTAGCTAGCGCGCCACACTCCTGCTCCGGATAGTGACATTGTTGCTCATAAGAGATGGTTGCAAGGATGGTGAGACAGTCATACTTGCAATTTTTTGACTCTGTTTTTCTCCTCCATTGTTCTCATATACTTCCTCACGGTGATGATGATCCCCCGTAGGACCCAAGGAGTTGTTCTCTTGTAATTGTTCATATGGAACAATGTCGTGTGGTATCACATCATTTTGCTCAAGACCCTCCGATTCTCCTATTGCAGGTTTCTTTCTCATCTCTCGCCAAGCTTGGTTCTGTTTTCGCTCATAGGGTCCAGAGCCATACCTAGAGCTCTTATGTTGGTTCCATGGCTTGTCCTATGACCCGATCGTAATGATATGAATTACGGTCTTTGTCATTTGTGTCTCTTAAGTTATGCGATTCAAACGCTCCCGACTTCTGTCCCTTTCCATTCCGTTCAGCATAATGTCGAGTTTGTAGCTCTCTACCTCTGTACCCTGATAAGCATCATCGCGTGAGGTTCGTACCATCATCTTGTTTTCCTTTTCAGCTACAGGAACTCCACGATCACGCAGCAAAGGTTGTCGCTGGTCATTAGAAGCTGAACTCTCGCAAAGACATCCCTCCGCTCCGGTGTTACAAGAGAGTTGGCTCCCATGTTTGGAAAATATCCTTTCTCATGAGTCATTAAGCCACAGAGAGTACAATGCTTAAAAAGAATATCATACTTGATTTCGATGGTAACCTCATCACCTCCTGGGCTTTGTACCTTTCTCTTGAATTTCAAGGGCTTTCTTGAATCAATATCGATGAGCAATCTTCCTTCAGATAGATCAACCGTGTCAACATGACCCAACCTACCTCCTATATTCCTCAGATTTCTATCCGTCCACAGGTGCAGAGGCATCCCAACGAACTGAACCCAGAAAGGTATGATCCAAGGGTAATCATCATGAAATATTGGCTCCCATCTTACCAAGACGAACATACAGTAGTTGTAATGGAATGGGCATTTTCTTAGAACCGAGTTTAGATCTTCCTCGGTTGAGAAGTTAAACAGGAATTTGCCATTGCCCAAGATCGTTTGCCGTGATCCGATCTTGGAGTCCCCATTGAGTTGACATTGACTGAACTAACTTCTCCACATTTTGTTTCTTAGGGTTAAGAATCTTTCCAATCAAAGACATACGATACTCCTTAATTACATAGGAGTCATCTTGCTCAATGAGCTTGATTGGTTCATCGTCCTCCTCATAGAGGATTCCCTTCCCCTTCATGTCCATCATATGTGACGAACTTGATTGAGCCGATGAGCCCATCCGAGTGGATCAGAAATCTGATACATTGGTATCAAAAATCCACAGAACGCGGAGATGGTGGTACAGAGTTATGAGAACTCTTTCACTCTTTTGTGAGTACGTAGGGTAAACACGTGAAAGCTGAGTTACTTCAGGGACACTCCATACATCAAAGAATGTATTAGTGTATGAGAGACAGAAACTTTGTGATGGCGTAGATCGGAGCTTGAGGGCGATCGGAACAGAAGATTCCAACCACAAAGCAAAGGACTTGTTCCTGCAGATGCGTAGATCGGAGCTTGCGTGGGACGTAAGGGAGACACCCGTGGATCAATTTCCCTCCGTGAATCTCCAGAACCTCTGGTCGTGGATCACAAGAAGTTTATGACTCCTCCTTGCGATGAATACAGTGGAAACGAAGCCGCCGTGTGCCAGGATGACGATCAAACGATGAAGATCTTGGAGATCGCCCTTCCCATCGCCAGAACCCTAGCCGCCTCCAACAAAATTCTAAAGTAAATGTTTTCTTAATCTGTATATAAAACTCTAAAGTGATATTCATTTGTTTCATTATAAGTGTCATTTTAAATTTGTGCATACAAATTAAGAAAATAATCAATTTTCTATCTTTCTATATAAAATTACATGTACACCTAATCATATTTAACAAATAGAAAAATAAATTACAACATAGAATTAATAAATTTTGAATTAAAAACTGAATATGAAATTTATTTTGTAATATTGTTTAAATAATAACATTTAATATGAAACACATGGATTACTTAAAATAAAAAGGAGAGAATACCTCATTATTTTAAGACATTTTTTACATCGCATATTAGCATTTAATTCTCAACCTATATTATTGGATATATTAATGGTCTTAATTGGATACTAGATTTTTGATCCACGCTTAAAAAACACGAGTACTATTTTTGTTATTTTATCTATAGATGGATCGATATGTCTTTTGCTTTGATGATATAAAATGTATCAGACAAATTTTTTATGTTTCGAAATATATTAACAATGGTTGTACCTCAAATTTGTACTTATGAAAGATTGTGACCCATTTTTTTAGTTTTGTGATTAATTCATAAAATCATTTAGTTACAAAATTTCACTATCTAAGATAACTTTTTAAAATTAATGCAGATTTTAATTTATTATTATCATCAATATCTATGTAAATGTATTGTATATAATTTTATAGTTTTATTTGGGAAAAATAATATCAATTAACTACGCCGGATGTTGAGAAGCGGGTCAGACTCGCTTCATCCGACCCGCTCTGTAGCGGGTTGAGTTATTTTTACGACACAAAAATTTGACCCGTCTGACCCGCAAAAAAAATATATTTTTGCAAGAAAAGTTTTATAAAATTTGAAAGAAAATTAGCCCATTAATGAAACTCATTATTATATATTTTTAGCCCCAAATAAAAATGACTAAATTGACATTAATGATAAATTAAATTTGTATATAAAAATAAGGTTATAATTGGAAAACATAAGAAAATTATTAAAAAAAATATTTTTGTTTTAATGGTATTGATATTACTATGGTTGTGAATAGATTAGAACTCGTATATCTTACAAAACTGAAGAAAATATGAAATGATTTTGAGAAACTCAAAAGCTTCTTCATTTTAATCAATAATTTTGACAATATTTACTTAAAAGATCAAAAATTTCATCGCCGACGTCGATAAAACCAAGCTCTGACTGGTTTATAAATCCTATGATGAAACAAAAGTGCAGTGCGAAAAAAGTACATTGCTATTTCTCAAAAACAAAGTACATTGCTAAAATATTGAAACATATATGTAGGTTTGGGTACAAATACTTGATACTCGGCTTGTACTCTCTACTTGATTTGGTTCGGTTTGAAAAAACAAGTACTTGTTACAATCAAGTCGAGTAGTAAGTAAACGAATTTTATTACTCGCAAGTACAAGTCAAGTATCAAGTTCAGTTTTATTTTTAACTACTTGGTTTTTTACTTGGTTTGTTACTTGATATCATTTACTTGTCCCATTATTTTTTATATATTACTTGGTTTATTAAATATTTAATATTCATTTCATAGCTAATTAAAATTTATGTATTATCTTTTATTGGTGACCACAATTATTCGTTGTTTGCCTCTTATTTTATATTTAATGAATACATGATTTTTTAAAATTAGTATTTGTTATGAACAACTTAAGTATCAAGTAATCTATTTAAATTACTTATAAGTATAAAGTAAATATTAAGTAAATTAATTACTTGCCGTTGTTTTGTTTGTTACTTGTTTTTGTTAATGCACAAAGATATATTTTCAATCATAGTAAAATAACTCATTTCTATTTTCATTTTCATAAGTACATCAAATATAAGTGTTATATTTATATAAGTATCTTAAAGTTTTCTCTTTCTTATATAGTCTATTTTCGAATGACTTACATACAAAAAAAAATAACATATTATCTATATAATAAATTTATTTAACTTTAAATTCTAATGAACTATCAAATAATTTACTAATAATTAGGAATGGATTTATAAGTAATTTATAAATAACAAGTAATAAAATAAGTCAAGTAACTTATAAGTCCGTCAATATTTTACAAGTAATTGAAACTGTAAATACTTATTTTTAGCAAACCAAATAGAAATCAAAATATTTACTATTCATATAAGCCAAACCGGATACTAAGAGCAGCCCCATTAGAGGGTCTTAAGGGGTTCAAAGCCCGAGTTCATAGGATTTGGGCATTGAAATTAAATGAAAAATGGGCTACTATCCGTGAACCGCCTCTTACCCATGAACATGTATCAATGTGGTTCAAGACACGCGTCGCTCATTGTTCACGACTCCAAAACTCGTTAATTTCTAGGGTTTTGATTCTGTTGAGCAGACACTTGAGATCGAAGTCGCGGAAGAAGAAGAAGAAGATGTTTCTCACTAGGTCTACCTTCCTCTGTATTTTACCCAAATCTGCGTTCTTCTGCTTCTGGGTTCATTTCAATTCTCTTCCTTTTTATGTTTCAGTCATGGGTTTTTGCTTATCGTGATTTTCTGATTTTGTTGTGTTGGAAGGACCGAGTATGACAGAGGAGTCAACACTTTTTCTCCTGAAGGAAGGCTATTTCAAGTCGAGTATGCCATTGAAGCTATCAAGGTAACTCTTCTATTAGCTTCTCTGAGTAGTATCTACTTGATTGCTTAGTAGTTTTTACATTTAGGCTAGGACTTAGAACAAAATTTTCAACTGTGTATGCATGTTATAACTCGAGGACCTCTTGTCAGTGAAGTTATAGAGCATAGATAGTAGAAGAATCGAGAGACACATTGAAGAAATGGTTCTGAATTGCTTGGACTATTGCAGAAATTTTCTCATATTTACTTGAGTACTCGCTTAGTAGTGGTATACTGAGGTTTGGACTTGGAATAAAATTCCCCTTTGTGTGCATATTGTAACTTGTTGCCATTGAAGCAATAGAGAATATATAGTAGAAGCATTGAGTGATGTTGAAGAAAGGGTTCTTCCCTGGAAACTGATTTCTGATTGCCTAGACTATTGCAGAATTTGGATCATATTTTCATGTTTACTCGCTGTATTCTTGAGTTTCTGATTAGTGCTGAATTATTGCAGCTTGGTTCTACTGCAATTTGAGTGAAGACAAAAGATGGAGTTGTGCTTGCTGTCGAGAAGCATATCACTTCTCCTTTGCTGGTTTCTCTGTTTACAATTGAATTCTCGGTTTCTCAAAGTTTTTATTTGTTGACCTTTGATGTTTTGATTTTCTGCTGTACAGAACCACAGGTTCTCGTACGGTGAGCCAATGACTGTGGAGTCCACAACGCAAGCGCTGTGTGATCTGGCTTTACGGTTTGGTGAAGGAGATGAAGAATCAATGGTAATAGCTGATAATCGAATTGGAATCTCTAGTTGCTTTCAGATATAGCTTGGCTTAGGCTGTATGATTGAAATCATTTTTTTCCAGAACAAAAATCATTGAAATCCTTATTTGACATGACTCATGAGTACTGATTTTCTTTCTTAATCAATGTTATTACAGTCTCGGCCATTTGGAGTATCCCTTTTCATTGCTGGTCATGATAAAAATGGACCAAGCTTGTAAGTATTTGTTCACTGTAGCTTTGCTCAACTGATATGATTCACTTACTGGTAAGTTAGTTGATCCAATTTCTCAAACGACTCGGTCTTGTTACAGGTACTACACTGACCCGTCTGGAACATTTTGGCAGTGCAATGCTAAAGCAATTGGTTCTGGGTCAGAAGGAGCTGATAGTTCTCTTCAAGAGCAATTCAACAAAGTAACTTGAGAAATTGTACAATAACTAATTCCTCAACCTGATTGGACCATTTACACCTTTTTTAACTTTGATGCAGGATCTGTCACTTGAAGAAGCTGAGAAGATCACTGTATCCATCCTCAAGCAAGTTATGGAAGAAAAGGTATAATCTTTTCAATCCAAAACTTATACAATTTACAGAAGTGATCGATCACATCTAAATGGGTCTGGTCTATGTAGGTCACTCCAAACAATGTGGACATTGCCAAGGTAGCTCCAGCGTACCATGTCGTTCAATAACCTCTCGGATGGGGGTTTGTGGCTCAAAATTTTCCATATTTAGGACTTGTTTTGTTTACTTTTTTGGTTTTTTTTTTCAATATGCAAGATAATATTTTTTCCTCAAAATTTTTTTTAATTTAGTCCTAAGAACCCGGACTTCGGGTTCACTAATGGAGGCGCATAATTAATATGGGTTCATCACTGTTCACGATCCTACCAAAATAATTCTAAAAAATCCCTATGAACCCTATAATGGGATTCACTAATGGAGATGCTCTAAGTATACAAAAATATTGAATACTCGGCTTATCTCCACTAATATGTGTGAAAGGCATGATAGTAAGATAAAATACTTGTAAACCCAAAACAATTGTCCATAAGATTTCTACGTCATCCTAACTGGGCCACATGGGATAGTATCATGTTGGTCAACTCATATCTCAGACAGCTCTGCAGATTTTCTTCTTCTTTTCTTTAATTTTTCTTTTTCTTCTTAATTTCAGTGGGGCCACATTTGACATCTTACACGGTTTCTTGGCTCCTTCCTCCGTCTTAAATGTGAAATTAAAATATTTTTCTTACAGATTAATTGGGGATTAACATTAATAAATTAGGCTGGCAAAACAAATTAGACAATGCAAAATGATTTTCTTTTTTGTTAGAGAGTTCTCGACGACGAAGAAACCTTTTTGTCGGCCGAGTAAACTTTTTCAATATATATAAGTATATAACTACTAAAAACAACGTGAAATTGATAAATTCTTGACCTATAAACTTTTTTAATCTAGAATAATCAAAATGGAAAGAACTATTCCATTTCACACATAAGTAATGAATACATATAAATTGATAAAAATATTTTGTATTCAATTCTTAGATATTATTTATAAAGTGATTTCACAACATTAAAAAAAACATATTTCACTTAAATATGACATGACTTACAATAAATGATGATATGATTTATCATTAAAGGTAACATAAATAAATTTAATGTTTTTCTTTTGTTAATTTTTTTAGAATACAGTAATAGATACATCAGTATTTTAAATAAATCTATTTAAATATGATATTAAATAGTATAGTAATAGAAATATAAATATTTATAAATTTTAAGATATTATTTAAATTTATTTTTATAATCATGCAATGTTTATTACGAAAGATAATTTTAAATTTTACAAAATATTTTTTTAACTTAAAATTTTTATATATACCATTTATTTCCTTTTAATATCTATAAATTTTTGAAATTATGTTTAGTTTTATTTTTTTATTTGTTATAATTTTATAAATTTATATTATTTTTTTGTAAGAGTTAAATTAATATATCTTAGCCAAAATAAATAAATGAAAATCTGTTTAAGGTTATAATTGTCAATATATACATATGCATTCTTAAATATAAAATAAGTTTATTTTTTATATGTTTCACTAAATTGATATTTATATTGAAATATTGATATAAATAATATTCTCTTTATTTTATTATGTATGTAGTTTTAATAAAATACACAAAGATTTAAAAAGTTATTTTTAAAGTAACACTAGATATATTAAATTAAGTACAAATAAACCAATCATAAGTAAATTTATATTATTTGATTGGTTATATTAAACCCAATAAAAATTACTTAAAAAGATAAAAACTACTTATATTTTGAAAGAAACAATTTTCTGTTAAACTATTTATAATATGAAACAGAAAAAAGTGAAGATATCAGCAAAATTTTATTTTACTATAATTGAAATTTTAAAAATTTATCGATTATGAAAACACCTAATAGATATAATTTTGTAGTTTAGTATCGTTAACAAAAACATAAACCAACAACTATTATCCAAAACAGTTTGTGGTTTATATTTTCTATAACCTAATTTAGAGAAAAAGTAATAATCTAATAAATGTAAAAGTAAGAAAAGTGACTACTGAATTTTTATTATGGGACGCATATTAATTTTTTAAAACTGTTTAGAAAATATTACATAAATGCATCCCGAAAAGCCGTGATCTTTTTTTTTTTGAATTTTTTTGTTTTTTCTTAAAGGAAAACATTTCGATATGGTTTCCCCACGTCAGAGGTAATATTAACACGAGAGACGGAGAAAATGCCAAAAAGGTCAGAACTCAGAAGAAATAAAAATGATTTTATAAATCTTCGATTTTTAAATTAATGTGATTAGAGGGGGAATAAAAAGGCATACAAGTCAAAGCTAATGACTCGGTCGTTCCGGTAGACAGTCAACATGTAAACGAAAATGTCCAGATCCACGTCTCTTTTGTCCAGTTCATATTTATATAAACAAGATCTCTCTGTCTTTCTTCGTGTGGACTCAAATTTAAATTTTACCTTTTTTGTCTCAAAACTTGTAAATTAAAATGTCATGTCAGATATGGTGACACGTTTGTTCACCATTTTGTTATTTAATTTATTTTAGATCTTTCATGGCATATAATTATTTAATTTGTTTTTAGACCTTGATTAGTTGGTGATTCATGCTGTAATAATTATGATCACTTTGACAAAAAGAAAAAAAAATTCTGTATCGTACAAGAAATTAGATGTAAAACCTTTGTTCCGAAATTCAACTCGCTAAGTGCTATGAATACAGTGCATCAAGACCTAAGAATTTCTCCAAAAAAAAGACAAAAATGAAGAGAGCTTGAAAGGAAATTTTGTATTTTGTGTATAATCATACGAGATCATGTCTTGCGCTTTCGAGTAGGTTAATTTTTAATCTATTAACAAATTGGGTACTCTTTAGTGTTTTTCTTATTAACACTATTTAGTGTTATGAATTTTCTACTTCTATAACATTTAATATATTTATGCTTATACGTTTAGTTAATATTAATATTATTGTTATTATTATTGTGATGTAGATTGTTAGTTTGTGGCATCTCCAAAGTAATATTCTATTTTCTTCCTTCAAAATGGAGTAAAAATGAAAATGAAGTAGAAATACTCTATCTCTACTTTATATCCCACTTCATAATGGAGTAATGAACAAACAAAAAAATAAATTATTCTATTTATGGTATAAATTCTATTATGAAATGGAAAATAGAGTTGGTTTGGAGTGTTTTCTACTCCATTCTCTTTTACTCTATTTTGAAGTAAAAATTAGAGTTGAGTTGGAAATGCCCTAAGACAAATTTTATAAATAAGAGTTTAGTGTTATATTATTCTAGTTTTGTGAGAATTATGTTTTATGTAACTTAATTAACACTTTTATTACTATGATGCTTCCAAAGTTAGTTTGTAATAGAATAATGATATGAGGCATATTTGCATAGTTTTAGAATTTCATTTTGTACATAAATCATCATATAGATTAAGGTTTAGACATCTTTAGGTCCATATTACACTCATATGTCCTTATTAGGTATTGGAGTGTGCCATGGAGTGAATGGAGGTGTTTGGGAGCATTGTGATCCAAAAGAGGGTTAAAGATGAACATGGATGGAGACCTTAGAGATATCTTTTGAAGCTCATATTTTGGAAAGACATGGAAAATTGAGTTATCTTTCTAATGGAAGTGGTTTCAAGTCATTTGGAGCTGTATTGAAGAAGTTATGATCTATCTACTGGAGGCATATCAACCCTGTAGCGACCAGAACTGTAGCGACCAGAGCATGTCGCTAGGAAGAGTGCGGAGAGTTTGTAGCAACCACTGCATGTCGCTACGAGCATGTCGCTACAGAAGAAAAGACCCAACTTTTAAGCTCGTTTTTAGGCTTCTATAAATACATTGGAGACCTAAGTTTAGAACTTATTTTTCTTTTCTCTCAAAAACACATTGGAAAGTTGAATCCTTGATTAATATAATCTTTTTTCTTGAGTAATTTGAGTTTATCTCTTCTTCTAACATGATTAGTTTTCCATCCATCATGGGTTTAAGATTAAACATGAAGATTAGTGAGTAGACTCTCTTTGAGCTTATGGGTTAGGTGATTATGGTGATTAAGTGATGATCTAGGGTGATTAGTGTTAGATCCCTCTTTTCCTATGCTTATTACGTATTCCCAATGCTAGATTAGACCTAATCCTTCTAAACTAGATCATTAGGCATTTACTGCCCACAAGGTGTATGATGAAATGCCTGAACCAAAGTAATAATGCTTTTTGCTTACTTAACCAAGGACACTTCATGTTAGGAAGGCTTAGATGGTTAGTAGACTTGTTCTCAATGATTGCTTGATTGATTTAGACCAATGACCATTTGTGTTTAGAGATTGATAGCAAATGGGCTTTTACCTTGACCAAGGACTAGCTTAGGATTGTGTCTAGACCTATAGGATATGAATGATTGCTTGAAACCTCACCCTAGATAGTAACTTGATCACCCAAAGTCAATACCTTTACCCATAAGTTCTCTTATCTTCTTGAAAAAAAGTTTAAGTTACTCTTGTTTACTTACATTGCTAGTTACTTGTTACCTTATAAAACAAACCCTCATTGATTGCATTTAGATTTAGCAATGTCTTGCATTCTCTTTGTTCAATAGCTCTCAGGATTAGATTGACACTCTACTTATCTTACTACATTGATTTGCTCTAAGGTGTAAAAATCCTTATCAAATTTGGCGTCGTTGCCATTTCTGAGTTGTTTATTGACATTGGGATTTAGTCATTGCTTGAGACTAAATCTTATTTACTTGCTTTAGTTACTGATTTCTTCTTCTTTGTATCCCTTGGATTGGTTGCAGGTGTATGAACCTGAGAAGTAGAGGAGCTGCAAACCTCTTACCTAAAGCTCAAGACATCCAACCTCTTGAGAGAGAGTTGAGAAGAAGTAGAAGAGAAGAAGAGAGGCTAACCCAACTAGAAGATTTGGGGCTAGAGATGGAGAGAAACAACCACTTACCTCAAGAGGAGGCTGTTCTCCCTCAAGGAGGCATTGGTCAAGGAGCTGACAACCTTAGACCACAACCCAACCCACCCCAAGCTAGAGCCATTGGCGCTTATGATCAACCAAACATTCATGGGCATAGAGCTGGTATCCGAGCTCCAGCTG